TGCGTCCAGGTTCTCCTGAGGGCCGGCTACTCGAGGGGTCCACTCAGCGTCCCCTCCCCCAGCTGGGCAAAGACCTGCACCACTGACCCCGCTCTCCAGAACACTCTGTTCTTAGCTTTTCACTCTTAATTCATTTATTCACTTATTCCCCTGATGCAACTTGAGTTTTTCAGGTCTTTTTATTGACTTTATTGAGGTGACCTTGGTTAATAAAATTATATAGGCTTCAAGTGCACAAATCTATAATGCAATACATACTATATAGTATAGTGTGTTTCTGGAGCTTATATTTTTTAAAATATTTATTTATTTATTGTTAATCTTCACCCGAGGATATTTTCCCATTGATTTTTAGATAGAGTGGAAGGGAGGAAGGGAGAAAGAGAGAGAGTAACATCGATGTGAGGATGTGAGAGACACACATCGATTGGTTGCCTCCTGCACAACCCCCACCAAGGCTGGGGATCGAACCCACAACCCAGATACGTGCCCTTGATTGGGACTCAAACCCACAGCCCTCCAGTCCGTGGGCCAATGATCTCACCTCTGAGCCAAACTGGCCAGGGCGTGTCTCTTGCGCTTGTTAAAGAATCACGTCTGTATGTCTGTCGTGCTCCGAGGTTGGCCGGTTGGCTGCGATGGACTAGGTACACGTGCGTCCAGGCCCCTGGGGCGGGGGGAGGGGCATCCCGGGCACAGCAGGCTGGGGTTGGCTGGGGGCCAGGAAAGCGCGGACTGCTGGGGAACGAAGGCCTGTGCGAGCATAGGGGTCCTGCTTAGGGGACCCTGGCCGGGGCGCAAGTTAATCCACGCATCTGGGCGGAACCGGTCCTCGTCTGTCTTAGAGAGGCTCGCCGTCGAGTCTGTTCTGGAGGTTCGGGCGCGGTCCGAGTGTTCGCGTCACGGTCACTGATTTTAAACACCGACGTGAGCCTTCGTTTTTATTTAACGGCTCGGCCGAGCCAAGCGCCTGGGAAACAATAGGGAAGGTCTTGGAGCTGACTCAGTTTCCCCCCCAAGGAGTTCTGTGCAGATTAAAGTGCTTGGACAAACCTTGGTGACATCCACATGAAAGGGTGAACAGAAGGCAGTTTCGCTGCTGAAAAGTAGTTCTCTTGTCACCTGTCACGCCTCTCTAAGATCGCGTCATCAGACTAACAAAATCCAGCCCTTCAAGTGTCGATGATGGAGGGGGGTAATATGATTAATCTTGAGAATGATGTCTCTTCTTATTTAAATCAATTTTATCTATTTATAATTTAAAGTAAAACATGGAATCCGTGCTGTGAAATTATGGCCATGAATTTTTTATTTTTATTTTTTGGATATTGCCAATTTTTTTTTTATCCTCACCTGAGGGCAGTTTTTCATTTTTTATTCAGATAGAGTGGGAGGGAGAGAGGGGAAGAGAGAGAGAAACATCAACATGAAAGGGACACATCAAGTGGCTGCCACCCGCACGACACAACCAGGGCCGGGGACAAACTGCAACCGAGATACATGCCCTTAGCGGGAACCGAACCCGGGTCTCTCTGGACCACAGGCCAACGCTCTAACCGCTGAGCCAAACCGTCCAGGGCGAGATTGCTAATTATTTATGTTCTGGTCTGATCGTTTTTGGTGTGATTAGTTCAGGTTTTAATTTTTGCTTTTGGAATAAAAAGCAAAATTTGAAGATTGAAGGGAAAACCATCATCTTAAAGTCCTATAAAAATCCGCAGTCTAATTGTCTGTTGACCTGTGGCACTTGCGTTGTTGGTAGCAGTGTTCCCTGACATGGCTCACAATACAAAACCCATGTCTTCCAGTTACCCGAAGATACATGCTTGCTACATGACGTGGGTGACGATTAATCAAGGCTAAGGCCCGTTATAAAGTCATGCTTTTCCCAGCAGATACTGTTTTTTGATTCAAAGTTATTTCTGTGCAACAGTAGCTAAATATGTTACCTTTTTCTCTTACTATGAAATGCTCTAGAGCAGAGGTTCTCAACCTTCCTGATGCCACGACCCTTTGATACAGTTCTTCATGTTGTGGTGACCCCAACCATAAAATTATTTTTGTTGCTACTTCAGAACTGTAATTTTGCTACTGTGATGTCTTAGGCGACCCCTGTGAAAGGGTCGTTTGACCCCCAAAGGGGTCGCAACCCACAGGTTGAGAACCGCTGCTCTAGAGTTATCAGAATAGTGTGTGACCGTGAACCAACTCCTGTGTGTGTGTGGGGGGGGCATTATTGAGTCAAAAATATTTTGTTTTGTTAATCCTCGCCTGGGGATGTTTTCCCATTGAGCTGAGAGTCCTGTTACCTTGCGCCTTCTGTCCGTGAACACCCCTTCTGAGCTTCTCCCTGGGTGTCTGTGTTTGTGTGTGTGTATATAGGATGACGTCTGTGCACACAAATCCACCTTGGGTTTTAAGAGCAAGCGTTTTCTTTAAGCGTGTGTGCTGATAAGTGTCCGGTTGTCACCGACAGGGTGTTTTGCAAGGTCGTGATAACACGTGGCATCTAGCCAGGTGATTGATTCCTACCGGCTCACATCCCCAGGCAGTAACCCAGGGTAGTGACTCATCCTCGAAAACGCACCATCAGTAAATAGTTGGGGATTTATCTCTTTTTAGACTTGACCCATTCCACTCAAAGTAAAACGGATGGATGATTTCCAGTAAACACAGAAATGAAAACCTTTTAAAGAGTCCCAGAGTCTTAATCCTTTAAAGCGGATTAAGTCCTTTAAAAGGATGTCTTCGTTTGTTCCCATTGTCAGGAATGTATGACTTTAAATTTATCATCCTGCCCCACCTTGCTTTTTGCAAAGTGATACTTCGTCCATCAGACGAGATCACTTTGGCTTGATTTATGATGCTGTGCTGAAGGTGTGTGCGAGCCCGACTTCGCAGGCATTTTAAACCACTTTACTCACAACTTAACCATTGAGTGTAGGTCGCAGGGACGCCGACGTTAGAAGTCACTACCTTTGATCCAAGGCGGAAGGAGATGAATCATTCTATACGCAGGAATTATTTAACGGTAAAACCTTAGCCCATCTCAGCGTGCGTCTGTGTCGGCAGCCGTGTGTCCACGCAGGTGTTTCCCAGGTACGGAGGGTGCCGGGCCTGCGTTCAGGAGGCTCAGCCGCGGAGGAGAGGACACGGCGCTGGTGGGGACGTGGACGGTGTCACTGAACACTCCTTCTGTGCCCACAGTCATGGTGCCTCATTTTATTTTCATTGACTCTCGCCACGCCCCGTAAGGTGTGTATTCTCCTTCCTACTTCTCCGACGGGAAACAGACCCCCAGATGGCGGGTCGTCCACCGTCATAGAGCCCATGAGCTGCGATGTGACGCTCATCTGTCCCAGCAGGAGCCCCTGTGGGCCAGGCACAGTGAGGATAGAAACAGGCCACCTCACGTCCTGCCCTCCACGAGTTCTGATTTTCCTGACAGTAACTCATACTCAAAAAAAACCAAAACAAAAAAAACCACAACTATACCCTTTCAGGCCATGTCGATTTAAACTCGAATGACCACATTTTGGGTCAAAACCACCCCATGGTGTAAAAAGGTCGCGGAACCATGTCGGAGCAGCGATGTGCCGGTCCATCTGCCGTTTTCCCTCGTTCTTGGTCCGGCAGAGATCGCTGCTCTGAGCCTGGGCGGCTCTGCGGCGCCCCTCCCGCCCACGATCCGAAGCTGCTGCTGCGGAGGAGGACTGGGCTGTCTCCCCAGCTGCTCTCCGCTCCTTTGTCCGTGAACCACGGAAATCAGAGCCAGGCAGAGCGAGACTTTTGTAAAAGTCAAGCCACTTTATTTTAATTCGGCTGAAATTTAAATTTCCGGAGTGAAAAAGCGGTGGATTTATTCATTCCAGGATGAAAATGCACATTTGTCCCCAAATCTTCAAGTCCACCATTCAGATGTCATTTACGTATTTCCTGTGTTGTTCTCTGCCTTTTATGCAAGGGGGGAGGGGGCTCAAGATGCTTCACCCTCGCGGAGTGGGGAACCTCGAGACACAAGGTCTTCCTCAATCCAGGCGATACTAGTATAGGCCGCCAGGGACCAACAAAGTGAAAAGTACCAAGTCCCAGCAGGGCGTTTAAATATGAACTATGTCACGGGTGTCCACCCAGGTTGGTCCGCAAAATAATCACCTAGCGATGATTTTCAAAGTTTAGTGTTACCCCCCTGCCCCCCAACATTCTGCTCTCTTGTGTGTGTCGGCACAGGGCAGTTTGGGGCAGAACAGACCATGGAAGCGACTCTCCAGGGGACCTCATTTTGAAAGAAATCTCCAGGTGCTTTGATACTGTTTCCAATCCAGTCTTTTCTTTCTGAAAAACACCGTGTAAAATAACCTCCCGCAAGCCCAGGCAGCACGTGCCCGCCTGAACTGCACTCGCGTTCGTAACCGTAGCCCCGGTCACAGTCCGAGCCGGGAACGTGTCACTCGTCTGACTTGCTGCTACGTGGTTCGCGTGGCCGACTGTGCTGCACTTTAGGACACGAGGGTTTCGGTGAGGTTCTTCCACAGCACGCGGCCCGTCTCGGGAGCAGGGATGCCTCCCCCGCCCCCGTCGGCGGCCGTCCCGGACGTTCCCGTCGGCGGCCGTCCCGGACGCTCCTGTCGGCGGCCGTGCCGAGCTCCTCGCAGGCTCTCGGGGAGTTTGCGGCAGTGCCCTGAGCTGGAGACTGAGCCCGAGAGGGGCAGCAGGGCCTTGGTGCTGACCTGTGCCCAGCCCTGCCCAGCCAGCTGTCCAGAGCCCGTGATCTGCCCCCTGCACCTTGCGATTCTCGCTCATGAACTCTGTGCTGTGTTCATCATTCTGTGGATATTAGCTGCTGCGCACTGAGCACCTGCTATTCCCCTTACCTGGGAATTTTCTGTGTGTGTGTGTAATTCTATTTATATGAGCGTCTGCTATTCATGTCTTTGAATTAAGTAAAAATCGAATCTTACGAAGTGAAGATGAACATATTTGACTCTTTTCCATTTCAGTTCATCGACGGCCGTCTGGCGAAACTCAACGCGGGAAAGGGTTTCTGTGACGTCTTTGAAGAGGAGGTCACTGCCGGTGGCTTTTGCGGAGGTAAACACGACTTCCCGGGCGACTGTCCGTTTCCCAGTAGCGGTCATCTCGATGCGTGCACTTGTGTTTCTGAGCGGCTGCTCCACGAACCGCGGTGTTCGCCCAAACTCGTGAGGTGTTACCCTCTTCGTCCCGGGAGAGCCGGGCGTGGCCCTCACCCGGCCTGTTTCTCGCGGCGTTCCGGGGGTCTCGTGGCTTGGGGACCCTCTGGATAATCTCGTACGTAGAGACCACAGAATTGGGGTCGATTGTATCTTCCTGCCTTTCCTCCTGGACAGTCCTCTGGGCTAGAAACCCCCGGTGACGTCTATGACCAAGGGGGACGGAGACAGAAGTGGGAGATGCACTGTTATCCAGAGAGGAAGGGCTGAGCGCCACGCGGCTTCTAGGTGGTTACGTGTGTTTTCTGGAGGCCTCGCCTTCGTGCCAGGCAGGGCGCTGCTGCTTTGGGAGGCTTGTCGGCTTCCGCCCCTCGGGCCAGTGCTCACACTGCGCAAAGCTCTCCTCGAAGCAACCCCAGGAGTCGTGTGAGTTTGTGTGCGCAGCCTCAGTCACGTGCCATCTCACTGTGCTTACTGGAACTAGCGGAAATGTAAATATTCAGACCGTGTCACAACTGTGCAGACAGCCAGCGACCCCTGAGCCACCTGACACCGCGATGTGGTCGCCCCGTCCACAGCCCTGAGGCTGGAGGAAGAGGTCGCTCGAGTCCTCGAATTGTCCTGTTCGTGCGGCTGGCGTTTGCTGAGTGTGGATTACGCACAAGGCACTGTCCCAGAGAAGGGGAACCAGACCCCCAAATTTCTTCCTCCCTCGGGTGTTCATTTCCCCCAGGGTAATAGTCATCTCCCACCATCTGTGGGTTTAATTTGGGGGAACAATGCTTGAGTCTGTGCATGAAAAATAGTTGCTAGAACTGAGAAATAAAAGAGGAAAAGACAAAGAGGATTCATCTGCAGATGTCCCCAAATGTAGTTTTATTCTTAAGTGAGATTTACTTTCGCACCGAGGCCACAGAAAGCCACGGAGGTAATTCGACCATGAGAAGCCGAGGCAAGAACGGACCTGGACCTGGTCCCGGCGCCGTGTTGCACCGAAGGATCTGGGTTTGGGGCAGAAACTCGCTTGACTTGACTCAGCAGGTGCGTGGAGTCAGCCTGCTCCCCTCAGCTCACGGGAGAAATTGAGCTTCAATGGAACTTTTGTGTTAAAATAAGACTTTCTTCACTTTTCACCCCAGACAAGCAAAATGTTGTCAGCTCTTGGACAAATTGCTCGAGGCAGCGATTGGGTATTTACATAACTGCTGTCTCATTATCTTTATGACCCGTGGGGCTGGGACCTTCTGTGGAATTGAAGATGACATTTCTGACAGTAATAGGCTGGAACTATGACCCTTTTATGTGGGTAACTTCTGTCCTAACCATTGGTCCAAGTTCCTCGGTGACGGAGGGAGGGAGGTGGCTATCCAGAGGGAGGGGCGGCCACAATGGTTTTCCCGTAGGTCTCCCTGTTTCAGGAAGGAGGGGAGAAGGCTGGTCTCCCGGCCGGCGACGTCGAGACATTTTCCGTCCAGCAGAATGCCGACCACACTGCTGCTCGCTCTCAGAGTGACCAAGGTTCTGAATTCGTATCCTGCTTTTGGGCAAGGGAGTCTCTCGAAAAGCAGCATTCGACCAGAGTTCATTTCAGAAAATGCAGCCAGAAAGACGTTAAAAAACCATGCCTGGCCGTCAGGGGTTATTTTTAACGTTATTATATTCCAGGTGATTTTCTTAGAGAGGCATGGATTATTCTTAGAAGGAAATGAAGCGGAATGTACTAGGGCTTGAAACAAAAAGATGAATAATGGAATAAAAATTGGTGATGGGCTTATACACGAGGAGAGAGAGAGAGATATATAGTTCCAAAAGTCGTTTCCGAGGTCAGCGCCTGACGTTTGTCAGCTGGATGTCGTGGGTGAGAAAGGTGACGTCCGTGTCATCCTGCCAGACGGTTCTTCGTGGACGTCGGCTGTGACAACGCCGTTCCTTGGAGTCACAGGGGTGGTTGTGATAACTGTGCGCGCTTCTGGAATATTCATACGGGGCGGAAGCTCTTACAAGAGCGCTGCAGATATTATCTCATTTAGTCCTCGCGGCGCCTGGGAGGGACTTGGAGGATCGTCCTCCTTCCGGGGCGCTCACGCCGATCCTCCGCTCAAGGTCACCCGGCTGGTAGTGGCAGCATCTGAGCCCGCGTGTCTGCTTCGCTTCAAGTGGTAATAACTGTGCTTTCCTGGATGAGAGAGCGTCTTAATCAGAAGACGTTCAGTAGACGAGAGCGGTGGCCAAGCCTTCTCTGCTCAGACCGGATGAAAGTCGAATTCCTGTCTCTCTCGAATAGCTGTTGAAAGCTGGAAAAAAAAAATCACAGAAAACCCTCAGAAAGTTCACTCTGGGAGAAATCACCATTCACTAGTGTGGAAGAAAGAAAAAAAAATGAGGTCCCTTCCAGGAGTGGGGAACCTTCCTTCTGCCCAGGGCCACTGGGGTGTCTATAGCATCATTCCCAGGCCATACAAGAGGCTCAGCCGAGAAACTAGCCTGCTCTGCTGGGTCAGGCCGACTCGGCGAGGCTGTGATGTGGCTGGTCCTGATCGCTGGTACTGCCTGAGTCTCAGCAAAAACAGGCATTTCAGAAAAGCAGCTCGTGTACCCATGTCCTGTGTCCCGGAGTGTGCACGCGGCTGTGTCGGGTGCAAATACGCATGGCGATGACGGGATGAACTTGACCGCGCTGGGTCATTGGTCTGGCTCTGCGGACAGATGTCCCGCGCAGGGGGCCACAGCTGGAACATCTAGAGTCACACTGAATCCAGAACTCGGGTTAGCAACGCCACGGAGGTGCACAGATGTGCCCGGACTCTTCTGCCCTGTGGGTCCCGCGGTTAGGACTGACCAGGAATCCGTGTCGCTCCTGATTCCCCCCGAGCATGCGCCGCATCAGGAGGTGTGCAGACGGAAGGAGAGCCACAGAGGCTGTCCAAGGACCAGGCGGGGGGATGCGGTACAGGTACCGGGCTACGGGAAACACCGAGAGCCCGGCCGTGCGGCTCAGCGGATGGAGCATCGTCCCGTGGACTGAGGGGGACCTGGTTCGAGTACCGGTCAGGGCACGTGCCCGGGTCTCGAGCTCGATCCCCAGCAGGGGGCGTGCAGGAGGCAGCCGATCGATGTTTCTCTCTCATCAATGTTTCTATCTCTCTCTAAAAGATCAGTAACAACATATTTTTTTAAAAGCAGTGAGGGAATATTGAGTCATGAAGAACTTTTTTTCTATAAATTTTTGTTAATTTAAAATAAAACTGGGTCTTAAACCCACTTCCGGAGACCCCAAGTTCAGAGAGGAGGAGTACTTTCAGACTGCCGTCCTCCAACAGACAGCCTGTGGACTCCCCTCGGGAGCCGTCTGCTCCTTCCTGAGTTTCCTCATCCCGTCTGATCCCGTCTTGTATTTATTTAATTCTGTTTCTTTTTTTTTTTTACCGACTAAGGTAGCACAGGAATTTGAAGGGGTGGTAGGTAGATGTCAGTGTTAGTGTCATTTTTTTGGCCTCGCTGAGCAATTTAGACCAATTTACATTTGGGGGGATAAGTAACTACAAAATACTGGAATTTAAACAAACACATTTGAAAAGAAAGTCTTGGCGCAAATGAGAGAGAGAGTTTGTTCCCGAGTGTGAGAAAATCGCTGGTTTGTTTAACAAGAACAATGTTAAGAATTTTCTCAATAATGCTTTTTATTCCTATGATCCTGTTACTTTAAATGAATGTCTCAGCAATTTTTTCTTTTCATTTTTTTTTTTTTTTTGGCATTCAGATTCATTTTGAAGAAGAAAAACAGCCTTTAAAAAAAATCACATTTTTAAGGAATAATGTGCTTGTCTCATAAATTTTGTGCAAATAGGAGACTTCAATCTGAAAAGCACTAAATTTAAACAGACGAGGATCCTTTAAACATTTTTTAATAGGGATCTACCGAAATTACACCACATGCCTTCCTGTCACCTGCGCAGTTCACTTAGGGACTTCCTGTTCACCCTGGACCGATGAACCCCAGGTTCTTATTGGTGATTGTCACCCCCACTGAGCCCCCTTTTCTTCGGTAAATTGCTTTCAAGGGGTACGGAGGAACGCTCTCTCATTACCTTAAATTTTACCTGCCTTTATTTAGCAGTCTTCGGAGGGAGTATTTCCGAATGAAGGACTAACAAGCCCCAAATGGAAATACCGAGGGTTCTTATCTTTGTGAACTTGGGCGAATAAGGGGTCACTTCAGAACCTCAGTTTCCTCAACTGGCAAGGTGTTGTTATTAATAACTAACGTTTAGGCTGGGTAGCCACCAGGTTGAGGGCCTGTCCCAAGTCACGCAGTTCTCAAGGACAGAGTGAACCTGACCCCTCCCATCTGCTGACCTCACGTCCGGCTCCCCGGACAACGCCGACCTTGACCGATGTTAGTCGAAAAGTACAACTCAAATACTGGAGTGTAGGTAAAAAAAAAACAATTTTGAGAACTGAGTCAGTTGAGCTAGAGCATCACTTTGGATGAGGTGTGTGGGTGCTGCTATCAGCCTGTTGACGAAGGGCTTGTCCGTGCAGCTGGATGCGTGACCCCCGGTTTATCGGAACCGGGTCCATCAGCACCTGAGATTTCCAGCCGCCGGACGCCCCGAAGCCCGGAAGCCACGCCCACTCCCCTGGTCCTTGGGTGACACCTTTCTCTTTGATTCCAACTAGAGACTATTTCAAACGCAGCTGAGTCGCATTGCAATCGAATTTGCTAGCAGTTAATGTTAATATCGAACACCCACAGAAAGTTCGTTTCGTCCTGAAAGTTCTTTGTGTTTCCAAATTTCCTTCTAGTTTTCTACCCCACCGCCTTCACTTGGAATATGGTCTTAAAATGAATCTAATTGCGTAAAAGAGGAAAAAGAGACATAAAACACTGAAAAAATCAGTTTAAACGACATGGGAATGTTGTCTTTCAAAAGAGGTGGTATTTTTCCTTCTGAAGATAATATCTAAAATGAAAGATAATAGAATACTCTAACGTATTAGCTTCTATGTGCGTAAAGAAAACGTGTCTGTGCTTAAAAATGGTAATTACTGTGTTCCTAAGAATTAGAGCAATGTATTAGTTCTTACAATGTTACATTGCCTCTTTCACAACATTGCAGGAAAATGAAATTTACTCACTAAATTCCTGGAAACACTAGTCCTTGATACATTTTGGTTTACGGGTTTATTTTTGGATCAAATATTCCTGACATCTTATTTTTACACATTGCAGGGAGCCCGAGATCGTACCAGCAATGGGTACACACCGTCAAGGTAATAATAACCTTTAGAAGTTTCTTCTTTTCACTCTTCTGTGGCTTATGTGCACGGAACATATGTTGTTTATTGGTCATATTTTAAGTGTATATTTTCTGACATTAAAAAGTTTTTGTTTTATGCTTATAGTTGGCTGGTGTTTATAAATGTGATTTTAAGTGCAAGGCTTGTCCCGAGATAAATGGCTTGTTCTGAAAAGCAGGACCTCACTGCCGCCTTGCGTCATTAGTCCTGAACGAGGAACTAGGTGCAGTAGTGGGATTGGATGGGAGTCTTATAATTTCTGGTTCTGTTTTTGTTAATATGATTGTTTAAATATAAAACTCTCTACCACAAACTGAGACGTTATCACCCAACAATAAAACAGTTAATAGCTCTGGCCAGTTTGGCTCAGCAGTTGGAGCGTCATCCTGACAACCAGAGAGTCCTGGGTTCGGTTCCTGCTAGGGGCATGTACCAAAAAAACAAAGAAACAAACAAAAAACCACAGTTGATCAACAGTGGTATTTCTTTTTTATGAAGCATTAAATATATACCTCTTACTGGTCGTATTGCCAAGATCTGCCTAAACTGCAAAGATGAAATGATTTGTAGATGATATATTACACCAACAAAAAAATAGAGTCGAATGTTTCCATTTTGTGTGACCTCACCATAGTATATGAAAATACTGAACATGAAATAATTTTTGCAGATCTTGGTTGAACTGTGCCTAAAGCTCTTTTTCTCTGCTATCAATAATGCTTTGCTTTCTGGGCAGTGTGGCCAAAAACCTTTGCAAATCGGTGTCTGTTTTTCCTTTGCAGAAAGGCGGTGCCCTGTTCAACTCAGCAATGACCAAAGCAACTCCCGCCATGCGGACAGCATATAAATTTGTAAGTTTTCTTTTGATATTTAAAAATTTTACAGCATTTTCCTAGCTCATAGCCATGGAAGTCTAGAATATTTTCTCTTTTTCTTTAAATAAAATTTTTAAATATTCGAGTTAATATTGACCAAAACAAATTCAAGTACCTATAATTATGTCATCGTATAAAGAGGTATTTTATTTATGTCATCTAAAAATGGCTCCTCATTTTATTTCAACACTATCAGCAAAATTGTGCGCTCAGATTGAAACAGTCTTCGATGAAGTGCCCTTTCTTTAAGATTTGATTCTCTCATTTAACAACATATCTTAAGTTCTCATTGCATACTTGGGGTTCAGATAGAAAACAATAGACAACTATGGCAAGATCCCTCCCCTCAAAGATGCTTTAACTCCACAATGACAATTCTTCACTGATTCTCCCTGGGTTCTAGTAGCACCCCCAAAACAAACCCCTAGCAACAGCATAAATAAGTAGCTAACAAAATAAAATCTCTTTACTACGATAACTAAGACCCTTCCAGACACAGCCCTTCCTATTCCTGTTCATTTCCCCCAATTCATCTTCTAAAACTTAGTTGAGCATTTGTTCTCCTGGAACAAAATGGTCCCAAGCCCACACAGAGAGGGTTTATAGACCTTCTGTGTCCCTGCGCCTGCGGACGAGCCTGTGCCGTTAGACTTGGGCTTCTTGAGGGAGGAGCTACTGGCTTGGTATCGAAGTGCTTTTAAATTCCATGGGCAGAGAGTCTGTATTTCTGAAAACATCCAGAGCAGTAGTTTTGATCTAATGAGAATTTATCTTCAAGTGTTTTCTCAGTTAATGAATTGATGGGCTTGACTTAATTAAAACTTAAATTTTTTTTTTTTTTTTTTAATCCTCACCCGAGGATATTTTTCCATTTTTTGTACAGATAGAGTGGGAGAGAGAGAGAGGAAGGGAGAGAGAGAGAGAAACATCGACGTGAAGGGACACATCGAGTGGCTGCCACCCGCACGACCAACCAGGGCCGGGGACAAACTGCAACCGAAGTACGTGCCCTTAGCGGGAACCGAACCCGGGTCTCTCCGGACCGCAGGCTGACGCTCTAACCACTGAGCCAAACTGGCCAGGGCAAAACTTAATTTTAATAAGTTTAGAACATATACTTTTTATTTGACTTACAACGTCCTGTGTGTATATATGGCCACCATTTCTGTTTTACAAAATCTGTTCTAAAGAGTATATTTTAGAGTAAGGAAGCGAATCAACAGAGTGGGTCCAAAAATACGCAGAAACACTCAGACACAGAGAACAAACTGATGACCGCCAGATGGGAGGGGCCTGGGGGAGTGGGTGAGAAAGGAGAAGGGATTAAGTACAAATCGCCACTTATAAAAATGGTCACAGAGCTATCGAGTACAGCATAGGGAATATAATCAATAGTGTAATAACTGCATGGTGCCAGGTGGGTACTGGACTTACTAGGGGGGTCACTTTGCAAGGTATATAAATGTCTAAACACTGAGTTGTACACTTGAAACTAATGTGATTTTGTACATCAACTGTAATCGGAAAATAAATTTGAAAACAGGAACAAGTAAAATAATTGTGAACATTTTTTTGTGTGCAATTATTCATCTTTACCTAATAGGTGTGTAGGAATTCATATAGGACCTTTTTAATAGATTCAGTGGCTTTGCCATTAACATAATGAATGTGAAAATCCTATAGTCTAAAGAACCACAGAAATATCATTTCGTGTTATCTGGCTTTTTAGATTGTCTTCTGCTTTGTGTACTATGTTGGATTTTGCCTTATTTATGACAAAGAAGTAATTGTTGACATTTCTTGAGCAGTTGCTACACACTAAGTACTCTACTGGGTATGATGGCTATTGACAATGTTGAACGAAATTCAACCGAGTCCAGTTAGAGACCCAATTGGCTGTTTCAAAACGATTCCTGTATCAGGCGGCATCCCATCTAAGCAGATAAAAAGGATATTTGGGAGACGTGGGGAATGGAAGGGATTTGTAGACGGAAGGGGACAGGGGAAGCAAATAGCAGATGACCTCATCTTTCTTGGGGGGCGAAGGGGCCCATCAGGTGATCCCCTCATGGCCACTGACCAGTTTCAGGTTGGCCGACCCATGATGACATTCCCAGGAGAGGCTGGAACTACTCTTCAGTGCGGGGTGACTTTGAAGTTTTATTAAGTGACTGAGTTTTTCCCTGAAAAACTCTCCGTGACGTTCTGTCACACTCACAAAAACGGTGTCTGCCTGTCCAAGACTTGGATGAAGCTTTGTCAAGTTGCTGTGTGTCTTCAAGTCCAGACGTGTGCCCAGACGTCCGGCTGCTGCGACACGCCCCCTTTTCCTCTCCCCACTGAGTCGCAATTTCAAATGAGGGCGTTGGCGTTGGGCGTCTGTCTCTTTCTGTCGTGTAGGAGGCAACATGCGATACACGTTAGCCTCTGTGTGATACTGTGATGTCCCTCGAGACTGTGTTTCCACCAACAAATGTAGGTAGTATAATAGTAAGTGGGGGGAGGGTCCCTGAAAATAGATTTTTATAATTTGTTCTTTTTCTCAGTAATGTGAGTATTTAGCAGTTTTCACCCAGCGAGCTCCCCCTCCGCGTGGTGAGAGCGCTCGGAGCCTGACAGTGGTGTTGTTGTTTCTAGGCGAAAAGCCACGCGAAGCTGGGAATAAAGGAGGTGAAGAACAAGCTCAAACACAAGGTACGTGCACCCCCTCCCCCTCACGTTCCCCTCCCCCTCCCACAAAGGCACATGCTTAACGGCTGTGGAAGAGCGCGTAGCCCCGAGTTCAGGGCTGGGTTCTCAGAGCCAGCCCTCCGGTGGCCGCCTGCCATTCTGTGTGCACCCACAGAACGGTCCCCTCGCCGTGTGCATGTCTTCTCACAGACCCACCAAGAGCCGCAAAGATGCTTTCACGGGATGCCTGTTGCCATGGAGTTCACTGCCTTGATGTCGCTATCGGGAGTCTTGCTTCAAGTTGATCGTTTTTTAAACTGTCATCGTTTGGTTTTATAGGCTCTTTCCAGGAGCAGGTTCTTAATGGACAGAAGTGTGCACTTTTGTGTATTTGGATCTGTGAATATCGCACGCGTGTGAACATGGGTGCGAGTGAATATGTGTGTTTGGTTTGATTACATATTACATCTTGGCAGATTGGACCAGTTATGTTTTGAAATTCTGCCTCTGGAGGAAAAAATAACTACTTAAAACTATCACTGTGGTGATGGAGAGTGAATGATCCTCATAAACAGTTTACTCAAATTGTTCAAAACAGAGACCATTTTGGGAATGATTCACTGCAGGGAGACCTGTTTTCTAAATAGGATCTTTAAGCTTGCGCCTGAAGTGTTATTTTATTTACATCCGTATCAGATACTTGGTCGATAAATCGAAGAACTTCAGTAATCAAAGGAGAATTTTATTTTATTATTTTTTAATCCTCACCCGAGGATATTTTTTCATTGATTTTTACATAGAGTGGGAGAAAGGGAGGGAGGGAGGGAGGGAGAGAGAGAGAGAAAAACAGAAACAGAAACATTGATGTGCGAGACACATTGGTTGCCTCCTGCACAACCCTGACCGGGACCAGGGATCGAACCTGCAACCCAGGCATGTGTGCCCTTTGCCCAGGAATCAAACCCAAAACCCTTTGGTTCACGGGTGATGCTTTAACCCCTGAGAATCTAAAAATAATTACTTGTATATCTCTTCCCAAGCAGGAAAACGAGGATGATTGCGGGACCTGTCCTGGTTTTGTCCAGTACACCCCGGTCTACAGCTTGCGGGATGGCAAGGGAGGAAGGCTGGAGACACGCAAGCTCACCCAGGTGGGTCGCGTCCCCCAGGGTCTCCACGTGCTCGGCTCCTCTCCTCCCGCCCGACCTCTAGGAACACTGTTGCCCCGTGGATGTTTTGTCACATGATAACAAAATCTGCAGAGTGGTCAAGGATGGAGCAGAGGACCCCTGAGCAGCCTGCAAGGCCACGGAGGGCAAGGGGTCCCCATATCAGCTCCACCGGCTTTGTTATGTCCTCATGGAGCCCAGCCCAGTGAGGGGGACCATTCAACCGGCAGTCGCCACCGAGTGTGAAGAGGTCAGGTTGACAAAGATAAACCGAAACGCGCATGTGGGCCTTAGGCCATTCACAGAACCTGTAGGGATCAACATCGATCTTTTTCTCAAGTTGGATATTTTACTTGCTGGGACTGTGCACACCCTCTGCTTACATGCTGCCCCGGCCGGTTTGGCTCAGCGGTTAGAGTGTCGGCCTGCAGACCAGAGAGTCCCGGGTTCGGTTCCCGCTAAGGGCACGTACCTCGGTTGCAGTTTGTCCCCGGCCCTGGTTGGGGTCGTGTGGGTGGCAGCCAGTCAATGTGTCTCTCTCACATCGATGTTTCTCTCTCTCTCTTCACCCCTCTCTCTCTCCTGCTCTGTCTGAAGATAAAAATGCAAAGATGTCCTTGGGTGAGGATTAAAAAAAAAAAGAGTGTGTACCCTGACTGGTTTGGCTCAGCAGTTGGAACGTTGGCCTGTGGACCAGAGAGTCCCGGGTTCGGTTTTCGTTAGGGGCACTTACCAAAAAAAAAGAGTGTCCGCCCAGGCTGGTTTGGCTCAGCGGTTGGAGCTTCGGCCTGCGGGACCCGGGAGACCCGGGTTCGGTTCCCGCTAAGGGCACGTACCTCAGTTGCAGTTTGTCCCCAGCCCTGGTTGGGTCGTGTGGGTGGCGGCCACTCGATGTGTCCCTTTCACGTCGATGTTTCCCTCTCTCTCCCCCCCTCCCTCCCTCCCTCCTTCCCTCCCACTCTATCTGAACAAAATATTGAAAAATGTCCTCAGGTGAGGATAAAAAAAACAAAAAAAGAGTGTCCTAAAAGTGGACAGTGTGCACACTCAGGGAGACATGTATCAGCTTGTGCACCCACAGTACATGTCCGAAGGTTTGTCCACGGAGCAAAATCTGTGGACACCAAATCATGTCATCAGTGGTCGAAGGAAACTAGCTGTTCCAACAAATTCTTGCCTGGGTCCTAGTTCCCAGATGATAGACGCTTGGTCACAGCCACCCAGGGTGACACAGAGCGGTCACATGGCTTCCCTGAGTGTCCTCAGTGGCCAGGAGCCCACGTGTGTGCTCAGCTAGCACCCTGGGCGAGCCCACGTGCAGGATCTGCGGAGGCCTGGCCCTCGCTCTGCCCTGTGTCTATGGGGACGGGAGGGCCAGCGAGGCAGCGCGGATCCTCAGCCTTTGTGAGGAAACCCACTCAGTTACCCGTCTGCCACCTGCTCTGCACCAGGTACTGGGCCAGGAGAGCAAAACACCTGTGCGTCCACGGGACCGTCGTCACGCCAGGCTGCGTGCGTCCCGATGGCTGCGTGGCCCTGCTTCCCACGGCGTCTGAGCACCGTGGCGGGTGCAGACGGTCTGACCCCATGGAGGCCTTTCCGCAGAATAGTCGTCCCGCAGGTGTGACCGGCCACCGCGGTAGGCCGGCACGTGCTTGTTCCCTCGGAAACTGTGGACGGATTTGTAGTCGATTTCTCCCGTCGCCAGTACAGCTCCTGTCCGTCTCCAGCTTTAACATCTTAAAAAGCTTTTGCAGAAGGTTGACGGCCTTATTATCAGAGCATTTAGTTACACTGACCGTGGGCACCAGGCTTCCACGTGAAGGAATGTGTTCTCTGACCCGTCTCTCCAGGGGGAATGATTCTCGGGTCTGAGCACTCGACGGTCAGGAGCTGCGTGGGCATTTCTGGGCATGGGTAGAGGCAGAAGGTAGGTATCAGCAGACACCCCCGAGGCTCTAATGCATCTTCATTCATAGTCTACCATTTTCCGAAAATAAACAGACGTCTGAAGACTCGGGGAATAGAAGGTTCAGATCCGTGTCACTCAGACAGCAGAGGGAAGGTCAATGTGGTGACGAGCTGAGGTCCAGTCCTTCGATCCGCGGCCTCAAGGAAGAGGGAAGCTCACCACCGTGATTCCCGATGTCTGGGATTGAGAAAGGGTGGTTCAGGGGGTGGCAGGAATGGGGTGGAGACTGTGGGTCCACAGAAAGGTCCCTGTCCCAAGAGCTTACACCCGGTGGAGGAGCCTGGCCGAGGCGAAGCTCGCTTCAGGAGACAGGACGTCGGTGTTCTCTCCGCGGGCCCTTCTCTGTTGTTCGAAATGCCCAGGCTCCGCAAGACTTCTCCCCAAGCCTGCCTGGTCTCCTTCCGATGAGCTGCTTTGACAAAACCAGAAAGGCCAGCAGCGGAAATGCCCTGGGAACCCACTGCTCTGTGCCCGCAGGTCGGCTCTCGAGTTAGAATAGCGGCCTCCCGTCCTCCCGCTGGCCGCTCAGTAGGGTCCCCCCCACCCGCCGGGCCCAGCTCCCGGCCCATTCCGGTGACCCGGTTCCCGTAGAACACCTGCCATGTAGCAGTCACTCACCTAAATGCAAGACTCTCTAGGGACCTGTGGGATTTGGTAATCCAGATAATTTCTGACGTTCTTACAACTATTCCCCAAACCTGGATTTTTTATAGAACGGAAATCGTACCGGGGTTCACTAGAGCAGCCTCGGAAAACAGGCGGAGGGGCTGTTCCTTGGGCACCGCGAGGCTATCGGTCTGTCTGTCTGTGTCCGTTGCAGGGTTAAGGGCCCCGCACGATCCACACCGAGGGGGAACTGCTATCCCCGTTGTTCAGGTTTAGCAACAGGGCAGCAGAGGGATTTGGAACCGAGCCCGAGCTCCTGCAGGTAACAAGTGGAGCAGTCGCGACGGAGCCGAGGACAGACTGACCCGGGGACTGAGGTGCCGACGCTCCCTGTCCAGCCTTCGCACTGCGAGGGGTCAGGACGGGCAGTTAAAGACGGGTGTGGAGCCGGGGCCAGACATTTAGCATCGCGCTCACCACAGCATCCCGGGCCTCGCTTTCTGCAAGTGGCGATGCCTGTCGTTTCGGGGGTGCTCCGGGCATTGCAGTGTGTGGGAGGCGCCGGCCACAGGGTAGAGGCTGTGACCGGCAGATGTCCTCGCTCTCGGCGGCTGCCCAGGGTCACAGCGACCCTCCAGTCACGGAAGTCATGGGGACCCCGAAATTAACTGTTTCCAGCTAAGTAGGGATGACTCTCAGATCCCAGTTTATGATTTGAAAAGAAATAGATAGGTCTTGTACTCAGAAACATCTGGGTTGGTAAGACCTCGAGTACGTCATTTTATTGTCGATGAAATTACCGAATTAAAGGATTTGGACGCGGCTCTCTCCACTGCCCACCCGCGGGTCCGTCCACGGGAGAGCCGGACCTCGGCTTCATCAAGACCTTTCCATTCTGTTTCCAGCTGCGCTGGAGTCAATGAGACACTTTTTTTTCATCTGTTTTTCAAAAGATGTAAATGAGATCACGGTCATTTACATTCCGAGAGCGCGTGGGAAGGGGAAACGCGAGTTTGGACGCTCAGGGCCGTGGACGGGAGCAGGCATCCGCGGGACGTGTTGGTCTGAGCCGTGTTCCCTGGCTTCATGTATCTCCGGAATCGACTGTGACGCCTTCTGCTCCCCAACAAACGGCACCTCGTGTGTGGGTCTGCTAATTAGTATGGTTATTTCCCGTTTTGTTGATGAGGCTTAAATCAATGTCAAGGGTACAGCCAGGAAGAGCTCCCAATTAGGCTCCCCGTTGGTAAAGCCCAGCCCTGCTCTCTGGCGCGGACAGGACGGTGCAGCCACAGCGCCGGCCTAACAGGGCTCCAGGGACCCGGTCCTCGGGTGTCGTTGGAAGCGCGGCCACCGGGGCCCCGCGAGGATACCGAGCCGTCTCCATCTCGGCTGCAGCCGCCGTCTCTCATCAGTTTTATTTCAGGATGAGAAATACATAGACTGAGTGAGCAGTGTTTAGGCTGAGAGTGTTCTACAGCGATACTTTGTAACATTTCCCTGTACAAGCGTTGTGGCGTTTGCTAAGGATAAGGAAGTCTCTTAAATAACAATGTTGCATTTGTATGACTCTAAGATACTGTATCGGCCATTCTTAGTCTAGTAATAATGTGTGAGTGCCTGTGGGGCTGCAACACACACACACACACACACACACACACACCCGACATCAACCCGAGGCGGGAGCTGAGCTGTGGTCTCATCAACATTAACAGATGGATGGCCCTGAGCAAGCAAAGCACCGCGCCCCAGCCTCCTGGAAGTGTAGGACTCGGCTCTTTGTTGTTGAGCCCTAGTAAAACCCTGGCACGCATCCCTCTTAACTGCTTCACGTCCGGGCCAGATAGCCCAGCACCCAGACGGGTTTCGTCCTCTCCAATTAATCACGTCCGAGCTGCATAGAACATGTGGACGAAGGTGATCCCCCCACCGGTGATGCGACGGAGAGCCGCGTCCCTGTTCGTAAATAACCCACGCGCGGAATGTAGTCAAAACTTTCACCCAGACACCACGTTTACAAGTAGAAATGCGTTTAATAGTCATCTTTTCTACTGATAACACCAAGTACTCTTACACTCAGGGTCATTCATTCGGGTTTTAAGTGAATTCCCACAGAGACTCGTGGTCTGAGCTCGGGCGCGTTCTCTCTTGAATGTATGAAGGAGGGAGGTGCACAAAATATCGTCTAGGTGATTGCCCACCTTTTACCCATTATACAAGGTGTTAGGCTCACTTCAAAGGAAACCTGGCTATCTTTCGGAGTCTTTACGTATTTATTGGTTTATAAATCATCCTAATGGATTGGTGGGATACGGGAGCGGCGAGAAGCTGATTCTGTAATTGATGAGCACTGGAATTTCACCTTTCGGGAATGTGCTTAGAAGTCAGACGTGCCTTTTGCGGC